AATGTAAAAAGGTTTTGCTTAAGATATTTGAATGTGACTGAATATCTTTGAATTACCTGAGAGGCCATTTGCTCATGCAATACAAAGACAGCAAGCAGAAGTCAAAGAATATTGCAGAAAAAACAAACAAACAAACAAACAAACAAACAAAAAACTGAGCAAAGTATCTCAGGCTCTTACAAATAAGCTTAATATAATTTGGGTCTTACCTAACAAAGAATATCTTAAAAGAAGCTTGCTCTAAAATTGCTATGCTTTTCAGCAGAAAGGCCTATACTTGTATTCACTGTATTCCTTTGAAGTATAAAATACAAATTGCTTCTTCTGGGTCAGTATTAACAACAACAACAAAATCTATTTTCAAAGTAACTACAAGTCTTATGCTTTTCAGTAGGGTCTTTTAATATAAGAGTTTAATTTCATGGATGGATTTCTTAAAGGATTATTTTTGCTTTGGAAGCACACTGTTCTTCTAGCTTGTTTATTGATTTTTCTATGCAAATGCCTCTGAAGAATAGGGCGCTTTGCAAAGATTTATACGAAGACTGCAAGTTGTTAATGTGCTTCCTTCCCTCTGTTCTCCAAAAGAACCATCTTTTCCTGACAGTCCATATTGAAATTAAATGATTTGCTATAAATTTAAGTATGTTGAAAACATCTGACCACAGCACTTTTCTACTACTAAATGAAAATCCGAGAAGACCACAATGCACAGACATGATCCAAACCATTGAGCCATATTGATTTACATTATCTAAATTGCTTTGCTGTATTTAGAATTCTTGTGTTCACTTTCAACAGGTTTATATTATTCCTTTAGCTTTCCTTCAGGAAGCATCAGGCTTCTGAAATCCCAACATTCATTCAAGTGGATGTATTAGAAGAAATGGTGATATGTAAGGCATCTACTCACTGGGATCTTACCCCTCGTTGCAAAGCAGCCACATGGTTTGGAGAATGTCCAGTCTTAAAATTAATGGGTGAGTGTGTTCCACAGAGAAATAACTCTAACCACAATTTGGCTAGACCATAAAGTGTTTTTTTTTTCTATTTTTTTTTTCTTGCTTTTGGCATCTGGAACCATATTTCTAATGGATTCACTTCCCTTGAGACAGGTAGTGAAAGAAAGGTGCGTAGTCCCAAACTGGAAACTTAGGTTGTTTCTTTGCTTTCTTTTCTGTGACTTAAATAGTATTAATTACTTTGTAAGCAGAAAAGTCAATTGTCTTACAGCCTGACAGCATTTGGTTGTGTTCCTGAGATGTGAGTCTTTGTGCTAAGAAGAAATTACATCCAGCCGGGACGTGTTCCAACACTGACAACAGCCCTGGGATCAATGCTGTAATGGCTTTTGGCTCTCACTTCCCTTGAACGTGGCTTGTGTAAGCTCAAAGACCATGTTAAACACAAGGCAGTCCAGTACGTTAAGCTGGCTTTGAAATGAATCAAATGTAAATGAATAAATCAAAGTAGCATGTTGCAACTTATCTGGTGAGGTTTTAACTTTCTCTGGCCAATGGACAGCAAAGCTGAGAAGGCAATATCTGCAGGTACCTGCCATGCTCTGTTAGCTCTGTCATTTTATAGTGCAACAGGACTATGAAAAAATTAGGGAGACCTCTGTGACCAGCATCTTGCAAATGAGAAATGGACTGCAACCACTAGACTAACACATAGAGAGCTAAATGGACTTCTGTGAAGTGCCTGGATAAAGGGGGGTAAGAATAAATAAATAAATAAATAAATAAATAAATAAATAAATAAATAAGTATTGTCCACCAAACCTTGTACTGAATGGTTGAAGTTTTTCTTTACAGCTAGCAGAGACATGTAAAACACAAGGCTGAACACTTAACTGAACACTTTTCCCAAGTATCTGCCCCTAAGTGGCAGAAGCTGGGATCTGGGTGATCTGTGGTGTTGAAGTCTATGTCTGACCTAGCAAGCCAAGGTTCTCCTCATATTCAGTGGTGAGAACTGGGCCCTTTTAGGGCATCTGTCATCAGTTCAGTTATTTACTTAGCATTAGATGAATGACACTGTTCAAAATAAAATATCACTATTCGCTACTACTCACTACAAATTGCAGATTGCTATTTAATATTGTCTGTAAAGAAAATCAGACAGTGATCTCAGGCCTGTATTTGCATTCATTTACTCACGTACATCTCTGCTGGGGTTAAGGAATCTCTCCTAGGCTTCCCAGCAGGTGTTGCGGGTAAATTTTAGAAGAAGCATCTGGAAGACAGGCTTTTCTGGATCTGCTTTTCACCAGCATTGAAATAGCATTCAGAATCATGAAAGTGGCAGGCAGGGGCTTTGAGTGACTAGGAAGGGTTTGGGGTTTTCTTCTTTTAAAGAGGAAACAGAAGTACAGAATAAAAGCCTTCAAGAAAGCTAAGCACAACAAATTTAGGGAGCTTGCAGTTGTCCTCCTGTTGAAATATGTCTAAAGGAAAAGGATCAAGCAAGCTGGCAGTTGCATTAACATTAAAAATTAAAACAATAGAAGATTTAGAATAAAGCATCTCAAGGCAAAGAAAAAAAAAAAAAGAAAAGCAGAGAAAACGGAAGAAACAAAAGAGCTATATAGCTAAATGAGAGGCCTTCAATAACCTGAAATATAAAGAAGAACTAGCAAAGACAGCAAAGCATAGCTCAAATAGCTAAGGGTAAGAATTAAAGCTAAGGAAAAGTGTACAAAACTGACAAGAAAATGAACACAAAGGGAGATGCAATTAGCAAGAAACGTAAGAAATAAAAAGGAAATATTTAATAAATGTATTAGATAGTCAGAAGAAGATCATGAAAATGCTCTTTCCACTCTTAGTAAAAAGGGAAAACCAGGAATGGAAAATGTTAAGAAACACTGGATATCTTTTTGGCTTTGCTAGAACATCTGGCTCTTGCCAGACAACTCAACCACTGCAACCGATACGATGGTATATTAAGGAAAGAACAAATCAGAGATTACTCAGATAATTGGAGCATACTTCAACAAATTAGGCCCACATAAGTATTGGGTGATTAGGAAGGAGCACACATCAGCCTCATCTGTGCCCTGAGCTGGCCCGTCATGTAGCAGCTGCGGTCTCAGAGGCTATGTGGATTGATTGGCTTGGTGTGAGCCCAAACCCAAGCCTGAAAAATATATCAACCCTTATGCTTCTTCTTATCAATTACCCCAGAGGAAAAGTGGAAGTACATCTGTACTGGTTAGTGTATTGGGTGTATGTGGCAAGGTTTTGGTAGCAGGGGGCTGCAGGGATGGCCTCTGTGAGAAGACTCCAGAAGCTGCCCCATGTTAGATCAAGGCCAGTTTCAGATGGCTCCAAAGGGACCTGCTGCTGGCCAGAGCTGAACAAATACCTGATGTTGTTTGTGCCTCTGTGAGAGCAGATTTAAGAAAGGTAATAAAAAATGCTGCGCAATGGCAGCTAGGAGAGTGAGGAGTAAGAATCAGCCCTGCAGCCCCCCAGGTGAGTGCAGCAGGAGGGCAGGAGGTGCTCCAGGCAGGCAGCAGCAGTTCCCCTGTGGCCTGTGGAGAGGCCCCTGGTGGAGCAGGCTGTCCCCCTGCAGCCCATGGGTCCCACATGGGCAGATCTCCATGCTGAAGGGACTCCAAGTGGAGCAGGGGCAGAGAGGGACCATGAAGGAACGGCAGAAATGAAGCATCAGGGACTGACTGCAGCCCCCATTGCCTGTTTCTCTGCACTGCTTGGGGGAAGGAGGTGGAAGAAGGTGGATGAGGGGAAGGTGTTTTGAGTTTTTTTTTTTTGGTTGGTTGGTTGGTTAGATTTTTGCTTCAATCTGCTCTGTCTTGTTTGTAAGAGGTAATAAATGTTATTAATCTCCCTATGCTCAGTCTGTTTTGCCCATGACAACAGTTGTTGAGTGATCTCCCTGCCCTTATCTCAACCCTTGGGGAGGGGGAGTGAAAGAGAGTTTGTGGTGGAGCTCAGCTGCCCAGCTGGGTAAAACCACCACAGTTAGTGCTACCATGGTTCAGAAATTCAAAGGCAAGCTTCGTTTAGAAACCCCAGACAAAGACAGCATAACTAGATAATTTCCATATTTTTTTCAACATTGTGGAATTACCAGTAAGTTTCATTATCTGTTCAGATAGCCTTGCTTCAGAAAGATCTGCAATGCTCCAAGCACTCCTTTCAGCCACCATCTTGGCCCAGTACAAGGTGTTTGTACAGGTCAAATCCAGAGTGTAAGAAATCCTAAGGACAGAGATATTTATCTAATACTGATATTTTTTCTATTCAGGATGAACAGTAGCTTCCAGGTAGCTTCAGCTTATGTCAAACACAGCAAAAAGCTTTTTCTTTTCTTTTCTTTCTTTTTTTTTTTTTTTTTTTTTCTCCTACCTACTACTTCAATTAATACGTGCATTTCATATTTTTAATTTTATTTTAAAAGTATTAGGGGTAGCTGTTTAAGTTACTAGGAAACACCTGAGCATGCTGTTCTACCAGCTAAGCAAATGTAAACAACAAACTTCTTCCTCTGCCAAATAAAACCATCCAGCCTATCAAATCCTACTTTCCACACCAGTAAATATGAAGGCCAAATATTGAGCAGAAGAAATACTTTAAGAAAAGTGATGAACTAGAATTTGAGCTCTTTTTTTCCTTTGCTAAAGGTATTATGCTTCAATTATTCTAGAAATGTATCTTCTGACTATATCCTCTAGTACAAAAAAGACATGCAATTATCAGATCAGATTAGTTCATTAGACATTTGTAAAGGCAAGTCCTAAACAAAGAAAGTGCCAGACTTCAGATTGCTCTTGTTCTTATTAAATTGGCCTCCCTGTGCTGATGTATCATGATACAATCTTTAATTACATGATTGCCTACAATCCTAGCTGCAGGATTGCTGCCTCATGTAACATTCCATGTGGATTATATTAATAGTTCAATAAATGATAGACATAGCTGGAAAGATCCAGTCAACATGACAAAAGAATCCTTCAATAGAATCAGAAACAGTTCAGAATGAAAGCACAGGTGTGATATCCTTACATTTCCAATGTGTATAATAACTTAGAATTTCAGAATTCTGGTATCTATGAAATCTTGAGGTGTGCGTTTTGTGGAAAACATTAAACAAACATTTCATCTTGAAGTGGAAGCTTGAAGGAACGTGTAGCCACAAAACATTTTACACATACCGATGTTTAATTAAGATTAGAAGAATAAGAAATTCCCTTTAGTATCTTTTTGGGAAGAAAAAAAAAGATATTCTGAATTTTTCCAAATATTCTATAAAGTAAAGCAGAATATAACGTTGAAACAAAATTGAATGAGTATCATTCTTCACTATTTGGGTTGTGTTAGGGAGTACTATCATTTTCACATAAAGAGGAAAGAAACAAATCTGTCCATGTTTGGATTTTTCCTCCCCTGATACAGGGGTCTGTACTGTTTTTTAATAATACTAGTGACTGATACTGGTACTTCCAAAGTCCCAAGAATAAGTCACAAGTAATGAAATCATCATCCTTTTTATAACTTGATAAGGAAATGAAAGTAAATATTGAAAACCTGGAGACATGAAAATTTAAAACTCAATGCCATGAAGCTCAGGAATTCAGAACAGCATTTTGCAGTCTTCTCTGTTCTGCAGGGAAGGCTGCATTTTCTTCATGTGATATTTTCCTGGGAGGCAGAGTGTCAATTAGCATTTATCTTGAAATGAAAACCTCCTTGTTCCATCTCTTTTGCAGAAGAGAAAATTAAATGAAGATGTTCTGAGATATCTCTCTGTACATATCCATATGTAGTAGGATCACCTTGCTACTGTATCTTTTCTGCCATTCACATAATGTCTTTTTTTCATCAGTATGCTGTCAAACTCCAGTCCTTGCCAGGGTAAGGAGAAATGAAGGTTGTTCTGCACCTGTAAGCAAAATGGGAAAAGGTGTTGAATCTGAGAGGATTGCACAGAAAAAGATAGGGACCCAAGGGGAAATCCAGGTTTCTTAAACTGTTATTAAAGTAGCATTCTGAAGTGAGCTGTGCTATTTCTACAAAATCAGTGCAGCAGACAAAAACCTCCGCTGCTTTTTGTTATTCTCTTCACAAAGGACTGCTGGAGAGGCATGCCACAAATCTGCACTCAGCCTTTATCCTTTTGCACAAGACACAGATTTACATTACATCACCAGCCATCAAAGACAATTTATGAAGATTTCAAACTCTTTGGGAAACTAGGGCTTAGATCTTGAGGAGAGCACCAGTGCTGAGCTGCACCATGGAGCAGGGATGTGGTAGTGCTTTAGAGATGATATCCTTTCTCCTTCATCCATACTCCACAGAAATTTTTCAGCTGCCACCTGTATATCTAGAAATGGTAGCTGTGGCATCGTAAAGGTTGTCTGCTGGTGTCCCAGGAACCATTGTTGTTTGCTCTGAGGGGCTAACGAATGGGCTAAGGAAAGTTCTGGTGGCATTTGTTGGTAATTGCAACTCCGTCTTGCTCCCAGAGGTCTTTTTGAAAATAAGAAATTAAAATGTTTTAAAGAGGCACATACAAAGGGCTGCTGTTTGTAAAGGACATTTTAAAAGCATTCCAGCTCCTTGCTACTGTCTCAGTAACCTGTGAGTAACTGAAATACCAAATATCTTTAAATGTCTTCAATGTCTAAAGGGTTAGTAAACTATTTACTCTACTACATGTACTCTAGAAAAGTTGTCTTCAAGTCATTTGCATTAACCATCAAGATGTGTTTTTTTTTTTTTTTTTTATTATTGTTTAGATATTCTTGGTCTTTGTTGATGTTCATCTTACACAGAAAGCGTTTGGCTCCCTGTCCCCAGATCCTACTAAACTCCAATACAAACAAACAAACAAAAATCCTCACCACTTCATTCAGTGCACTTAATATAACTTAAAATAATAAGAAGAATCATGCAGTTTTGTTTTGCTTTGTTTTCATAATACATTTTCTGAAGTCCAGGCTAGCCTTGAATCACATGTGCTAGCTAGAACAGGTCAGAAAAGTTTTGATGAAATTCACTGAAAGACCTAGATTTTGAATGGAAATCTTTTAACTGAAACATCTCAAGTTTCTTGAGTACTTGGTACACCATAGGCATCTCTCCAACAGAAACATGCTTGGCTTCAGAAAGTAATGATGAGGACTCAATGTTTCTACAAGAAGCTGGTGAGAACCAGGCTCCTTGCAGTCCTCCAGAGTCAAGTCCTAGCCCTGTTTGACCTTGGCAACCTCAGGGAGCAGAGCAGATCACTCAAGTGGTGCCTCTCAGATGAGAGATTTGACAGTGCTGTGCTGGCTGCCTGAAAGACAGGGGTCCTGACTCCAGCCGCAGGGACACCCCACTTCCCAACCATACAACCAGGACGATGAAGCTGGAAGTAACTGCACAAGCCCTCCAGGTCTTTTCCATGAAATACAATCAACTGCTCAACCTCAGAAATTTCTAAGCCTACCACACTAGCCCTCAAATCACAAGGTGGTGGTCCAGGAGAATGGGAGTGTTGTACAAAGCCCAGGGCATGTGGTGGGACAGTCCTCCTGGAGACCTTCAGAGTTCATGCATCGGATAGATGCTCCTCTCCCAGCTGCAGTGAAAGAAACATCAGTGCCATTTTCTATCACACCATGGAGCCTCTGTGAGCAATTTTTGTTTTCAGTGTGCCAGTTCATTAGATATTTTTGAGAAACAATTATTATTGTCTGCCAACTGGAAATTCTGTATTTCAGCCAATATTAAATAAAACCTGAACTGATTTAAAACCTGAGGTCTAAGTGGCAAAGTATACCAAGACTCACAATATTGGACTCATTTTGAAGGCAGTGGACTGTGTGTTTGGTGATAATCATGTCTCTCTCTTTTTTTTTTTTTTTTTTTTTTTTAAGTAATGGATGGCTGTTAACATAAATTGGGCTCTCCAAAGTGCACTGCAATTATTTAGAGACCTTTCTTTCCAATCCTCTTTCACTTTTAACATCCATTGGCAAAAATATCTAAATGGACACAGAAACTAAATAATGTTCCAGAGTTCATATACAGCACAGACAGCAAGCAATTTAAATTATCAGTTTGGTTCTTACTAAAAAATACAAAGCTGTTGTGAACGAGGCAAAGTAAAAATACCCATAGACTTCACCTCCACTTCATTCCATTTCCTGTATTTATTTTGGAGTTGGATTCTGCTGCGTTTATAGCTGAAACTGACAGATAATTATGTACTGCCAGTGTTCACTTTCATTATTTAGGCATGAATCTTTCTAGCACTTTTGCATAAGTATAACTTCATTCGCTATGCAAGTTCATTGGGACAGCCCATTTTGTGTGAAAGCAAGCACATGAATAAGTCTTGACAGGATCAGAGCCCTAATTTCTACAAGAAGAATTAGATGTTAGAGTAATCTGTTGTTAGTTTACTAAATGTTAAGTTCTTCCCAAGATACCAGATGTTGGGAAGAATGCCCAAAGGAAAAGAGTAGACATGACATCACCTAATTGTCATTGTAAAAATAACAGCTTGCATGTAGCATAATCCAACGCGTGGCAGATATGGACCATTTGACTTAATCTGTTTGTAAAACCAAAGCAAAATTAACGCAAAGTGTAGTTAAATAGTCAATTCATCCGTCAGTGCATGGGGTCCATTCTTAAACAACAGCACAAATCAAAATTCCTTCTTAAAAGTGAGTTTCAATATTCCAAATAAAACCAGTTCATTTCAAACCAGGATGCTGATCTTGCCCAGCATCAGTAGATGCAGCAACCCCTTTTCCACCGAGTAGCACTGCCTCAGCCTCCCAACTAGCAGCAGAGCAAACTGGTTGTGCCTAGAAGTCATGGGACCACCATGAGCACCCTCTACTACTAACCTCCAGCTGCTCTATATATTTTGCCCCCACCAAGTAATCAGTGGCTGGATCCACTTTTCCTGAGGAGCAAGCTGAACCCAGCATAGGTACTACTAATCTCTGGACACTCTGGCACATTATTTGGTTTCTGTGTCCATTTAGATACTTTTGCCAATGGATGTTAAAAATGAAAGAGGATTAGAAAGAAAGGTCTCTAAATAATTGCAGTACACTTTGGAGAGCCCAATAGTTGGCTCACCCTGCAACTGTTTCTATCTGAAACTGGAAAAATGCTTCAGCTATTGCTATGAGGAATAAAAATAATTTTCTGCACCACATTAGCCTTATCTTAGAATTTTAGGGTAGTCCAGGCAGGTTTTTTTCTTTTTTTTTTTTCAAGGGCAAAGTTTCTATTGAATTCGCTAATGCAGGATTTGGCCTGAGTAATCACTGTGTTGTAAATTACAAAGGAATGATGCAGTTATTGCCCTGTATTTCTCCTCATGTGCATTTATTCCTATTTTAATTGATGAGTTAGTCAACTTATCTGGTGTGCTTTACTTACAAATGCTATAGCTATGGAAGATGAATTGTTACTGCTGTGCCTAAAAAATACTGAGGAGCATTTGGGCATTTTTCAGTGTCTTATTTTGAAATTAATATAAACATACATTCTTTGGTCAAAAGTTCAGCTTCAAATGACTCCTAATATCCTCATTTATGTCAGGTGAATAGAACTAACTTTATACTATCTATGATCATGTCAAGCTGGGTTTTATCACAGAAGAAAAACCCTGACTGCTGTGCTTCAGCTGGACACAGTGACTCAAATGAACCCACAAAAAAAATAAAAAAATGTATATCCAGAAAAAAAAATATTATTTCAAGGTGATAACTGGTCCTGGTAGCCAGCCTGGCTCCTTCCAGAGACATTAAGCAATCTCTGTTTTTAATATCATGGATGTGAGCTACTCAGGTTGGCAGGGCTCAGGGTCCCTCAGCAGACATTGGCTTCACCTCCACACCAAGTGACAACAGACTGACTGGCTACAGCCTTGAGCTCTCTTGGAACTTGTGAGTTAGAGTTATTCCTCTTCAGTAAGAAGCATCCTAGTGTTACTGAGCTTAGTTTTCACCATTTCTAACTCACCTGGCCAACATACACAATTCATAACAGTTCGATTGAAAGGGAAGACAGAGCTGGATTTTGTGAACAGGACTGTCAGCAGCAGTGTCACAAAATAAATAATGAAGGAATAACAAGAAGAAAATGAGTACAGAGGAGAAGCCAGTAACCTTCACCATTTTATTAATCTTTGCTTTTTGCAATGAATACAATCAAAAAGAGACCTACCCATTTCCAGCTAGAATTACAACCACGCTGCCAGCAAGGAAAAGTTATTTTTTCATTTTCCTTTTTCAAGGAAAATGCTCTATAACAATATAATGAAAACTAGTGTGAGACCTGAGAAGAAAACTGACATGGGACAGTTTCTGATGGATTCAATGTCCATCAGAGGACTCAGAGAAGTTTCTGTTAACAGGGTCTTCACCCCAGATCCAGACCACACTATATAAGTTCTTACTGTCATGTGAGCAGCAAATGCAGTTCTGCTCTGTCAGGACCATATGCTGAAACGCCATGGGAATAACTCAAAAAGGGTGACTTTAAATAGGGAATCTTCTGTTCTGCATTCAAATATATATATATATATATATAAAATATAAAGAAATTCAAATAAACAAACAAAAGACTTCAATGCAAACTGCATTTAAAAATACTTTCAGTTGCATGCTCCTGCTTTTATTCTCTCCATGCCTATTTTGAGTCTCCAAGAAGAAACATTCTTGCAGTTTGGGTTGTAATACAGTGGAAATAGCACTGAAGTATATGAGATTTCAAACACAGAAACAAAGCCTTCATCCACAGAGGCATCCATTTTGACATGATTGTTTTAAAAATACATTACTTTGTAACTGGAGTGTACACCCCAAAAGACCAATGCTAACAGATTTTTTCTGGTACTATTCAGATCCAGTGCCTACCAATCACTCAACTTTATTTTGGGGGGAATTTTTCACAATTTGACAATATTTTTTAATATTTCAGAAGGGAGAAATAAATGAATAAATAAATAAAAAGAACAAAATGTGTGCTACAGTCTTACAGACATCCAAAATTAATTGTAGCTCGTAAGTTCTAAATATCACTCAACAGTTAAATCAAGATTTAAGCAATTAATTATAAATCCATGTAGAAGTTCATTACTGCAACAGCAATTAATTGTATATGGCCTTTGATCTGTAATGAGTCTGTAGATATGTGTCACCTCTTTTTCAGTTGGTCTGCAAAGTTTCCTCTAGGTGCATCTCTCCAGGCACCCCAGGGCACAGACATCTCCCAGTCTGCACCCTCCTTGGTCTGCTGTCCTGCTTCAGGGGCTGCCTGGCTCTCTGTCTCCAAAACACTCGTGATGGCTACTTTGTCTGGAAAAAAGAAACCACAAAACACAACCAGCTGAATCCCAGGCAGACCTCTTTTCTCCATTTTTCTCATTTTTTTAACGTATGTCATCCCAGCTGAAGATTTTGCTGGCCAGCATGCCTGGCCCTAGGCGAGGGGTTGAAGTGGAGCACATGTGCACATGTGCAGGCATCTGAAAGCACCTGGCCCCCACAATAAATAATTACAATAAGTGGCTTTCATCGAGTCCCTGTGCTGCCTGTTCTGGTCAAGAGCTGCCTAAAATAACAGCCTCCCATTCTGAACACCATCTCCATTTCTTTCTGACTTGTTTTTCATTTCCAAAAGCTTACAGAGGTGAACCTTTCCTTCAGGGAGAAGGCCTGTGCACATGTAACTGCTGTGAACTCATTACACCTGGAAAGGACCTCCTACCTCTGTTTAATTGAGCAATTTGACCAAGTGGCTCCTTCAGGGCTTCTCTGAAGTTAATGGGAGATTTATTAGTTACTTCAGCAGTAGCAGGATCAGGCCCTTTGACTTCATCAGGCATATCATCCGTCTTCACATGAACAGGCTGACAGGACAGGGATTGAAATTTCACAGTCTGTGATATATTTAGAGATTGTTTAGATTGGATTAGGCTACGGAAAAATACTGTGCTGACCAAGATAATCATCCTTCAGATATTGATCTAACCCCTGCCTGATCCAATTTGTTCTTCCAAATAACATTGCCTGCAGCTACCTACCACTATCTTACAGTAATATGGAAGTGACAGCTGCTACCATTCCTGAGTTTTCCCCAGTGGAAATCAATGGTGAAAACCCAACTGATTTGAATGGTACAGGTTTGTTCCCTATCGTCCCTGTTTTCAGCACCACATTTCCCACTAAAATGTTTTGAGCCACAACACTGAAAAATCAGACTAATATCTCAGGTCAGCCCAATGATACAGTGTATAGCTATAGGGAATAGGATGGGGAATACAGCCACATAAATCATTCCTACAATGCCATATAGAACTACCTAGACCTGATCCAAACACATTAGTGGGGAGTACTCAGGGAACATGCCAAATTTCCGAAAACACTCTACCGAGGCTTAGACACATGGTTCCAACAGGGCTAAAACGTCCCCAGGAAACCATTGCAGCACTATGGCTGTACGGCTTCCAGCACGGCATTAGCGTGCTCCAAGATAGCTAAGGTATCTCGGGATGGTCCTGCCTTGTCAGACCGTGATTTAGACACATTTTCAGACCTTTGCTGAACTAGGCCTAAAAATATACTTGTGGAACAGCTCCATGCTCAGGTTCTCCATTACGACCACAGATTTGGTATGCAACTCTAAACACTTGGGATGGCTGAAAAGGGCACACAAAGGGAACAACTCTCCATGGCCTGGAAAACCAGGGACCATTCCAGCAGGGTGTAAGGTGGAATAAAACCACAGCCTGTCAGATATAAGGCAGGCACAGTGCTGTTGCATAAAGAAATAACAAACTGTTATGTTAGTTCTGTAAGTACAATTTCTGCACCAGTTTAAGTCATTAGACTTCACATAGTACTTTGGTCAAAGCATGGTATGGAAATCAAATGGAATTTATTTTTTCTAAGGGTCTTTTGTGCCAGAGGGAGACAAGTGAATTAAGGTGAATTGAGCTGCTTCTTCTGATACCTACACACTTCACAAAATAAATGTAAAGCTGTACCTAAGCTATAAAGATTTCGGATTTAGCAATAATATAAATGTTTGCCCCTGGGGCAGAACAATAAGCTTCCTGATCCTCCTTTCTAGGATTTTCTGCTAATTCATATAACACTAGTGTCTGAGTCGTGGTGCTTTTCCTAGCAAGATCTTGTGTTTAGCAGATCATGTAAGAAACTAAATATTCTCTTTTTTTTTATTCAGTTTGCAGTAATACCATGAACGAGGCAATGTAGAGTTGCAGCCAGGTGTGCAAGAGGTTTTTGTGCAATATTGCTAGGTGTTTACTGAGGTCCTATACTAGCTCCGTGTCTTGTGATCTGTATTTTTTTGTTGCTGGAGGTGATGGAGAATTTTCTCTAAATTTTGGTCTCTTATTCCAGATTGTACAGTACAGATTCCATGTCAGCAGTACAAACAGTGCAGTTAGAATTCTTAGAATTTGCAATAAAAAAAAATATTTTCAAGACTTTCCTCAACTGATTTATATATTATTAACCTTAATATTTGAGATTTTTTTAAGAAAGTTGTAACTGTATGTATTAATTAAAGAGTGCAATTGGGTTGTAATTTAGGAGATTATTTACTGCAGCTAAATAGACATGTTGCCTGAAGGCAGGAAGCAGTCACAAAAGAGGTAGATGTGGAATGAGATCAGAACAGGAGGTTAAAATATGCAAGCATCTATCAGTAGAGTAATAAAAATTACCTAATAATGAAAATGAGTTTTCTCCTAAACTGAGCTTTAGAGGGGTTGGTTGATGGCATATTTTTTCTTTGTTTTTGCACTACATGGCTATCAGACAGAGTACTAAGGCATCATCCTTGCTCAAAGAAGAGTGTTTCATCACTCTTTGTTTATAGGAAAGGCCCAAAGCTTCTGGATGTGATTAAGAGATGCACAGTTAAATACCCAGACATGTCTGGGATCTTCATGACACACAACATAACATGTTTTGTGTGGGTGAACTATGTAAGGTCTGGGACAAAGATTTCTGAATGGCAGTCATGCTTTGCATGTTACCACTCCATCAAACACCTCAGTGGGCTTTGGTACAAAACTTCCAACATTCAATGCCTGCTGTTGCCTGCCCTGAGCAAAACCAGAAGCTGCTCTTCTCACTGACAGTTTAGGTATACTCAGGAGCTAAAACCTAACTTCTGTCTCCAGATGTGACATAGAGCAGGTGCCTGCTGGTAGGCCCTGGCATCCTTCACTGCTTGCAGCCATCTCAGAGCTCCTCTAAACGTACAGATAAAACTTCAAGCTAATATGTGGCCTTGAAGCATGCACTGAGAAGTGAATGCCACCTGAAGCCTCCAGGAAGCTATGCCAGGATCTTTACAGACCAGGGGGCAAGATGTGAGGTCACATTGAAAGAGGATATGGCTGCACTCCTCCTCAGTGGAAGTGTGGTTGAATTGGGGCATGAGGAACCAGTCACCAGCTAGAGAAGAGAAGCAGACATGGTAGGTCCCCAGATCATGGCATGACCATGGCGTAGATACATGGACGAAGTGTCACCACAACTGAGACTGGCTGAATGGAGCAGGAATTAACAGCCACCACTATGTCTGTGGAAAATACACAAAATACACTCTGAACGATCAGGAATATCCATATACAGGACTGGGTTTTACGCTGACCTTATAAATATTCCCCTTTCTCAATTCTGTGTTTCCAAATAAGAACCAGATTTGAGCTCCATTACCAGGGGTGCCACACAACACGTATCATGTGCTTTGACCAACAACAGCCCAAGTTCACTGCAGTATATATAGGCATTTCACGACATGCAGGACTGCTACTTTCTTCCCACAAGAGGGCCCTAGAGCTTCACTCTCCAGAATATGGATTCTGACATTTGAAGTCAGACTTGTGAATAACTGTAATTCCACGTTTGCTCTTACATGCAGCCATGGAGGGGTCTATGTTGTCACATATTCAGCAAGGAAACAGCCCGGCCTGCCACAAATGAGTCAGCCTTCCTTGTGACTCCACAGGGCCAGAAGATTTGAGCAATATCAGGAGAATAAGCCTCTCTGAAAGAGAAAGAAGTTTTCAGCAACCCCAGTTTATAGTGAAGTGGTGCTATTAGATGGGACCCATCTTCTAAATGCTCCGATGTGGGAGGAACCTGTTTCAGCTTGTTATGTAAAGCAGCAAACAAAAGCAACACCAGGTTGGAGATAAAACATGGTATATAAACAGAATCACAGAATCACAGAATCACAGAATTTCTAGGTTGGAAGAGACCTCAAGATCATCGAGTCCAACCTCTGACCTAACACTAACAGTCCCCACTAAACCATATCCCTAAGCTCTACATCTAAACATCTTTTAAAGACTTCCAGGGATGGTGACTCCACCACTTCCCTGGGCAGCCTGTTCCGGTGTCTAACAACCCTTTCGGTAAAGAAGTTCTTCCTAACATCCCAAACAATCAATGGTTCAGACAGAAGTTCAACAACTGTTCAGTGGTAACTGGAATCCGTTCAGAGTATCCATTTTTATTGCATTAGGCCTTAAGTTTCAGGAAAAGCTAAGTATTTCTCCTTGTTCATGTCTACAGATAATCTCTAGAACAAATCAATCAGAAGTGAGAAATATGACAGAATAGGAAAAAAATAAATCCAAACAGGTTAAAACAGATTTTTTGTTGTCATTAAGTTCTGTTTATAACAGTAAAACATCTGTTTATTAAAATATCTATTTATTATCTATTAATATCTATTTTTAAAATATCTATTTAATAGTAAAATATCTATTTAAAATATCTGTAGATTAATCAAGACCTATAGAACACAAGTCTATCATTCCACTGATTTTTTGCCTGTAAATCAGGTGATTAAGGGAAGAAACAATGTTGTAAATATACTTAATTTATGAGACATTTGGATCCTATTATTTTCATGCAATATTAATCCAGGCAATTCTCTCATCCACGAACTTACCTTCTGTAAAATAATTTGAGGGACTGTGATTCCTCACACCAATTGTTGCCTTTTTCTCCCCACTTCTTTGAAGACAGGATTGATTTCAACAAGGAATTTTTCAGTAACACTATCCACTGGCAGGATAACGAGCAGAAATGTTTGAGACATGAGACAGAATATCACAGCCAGGCCCATCGGCATGTTTCTTTGGCTGGGTGTGCTGACATGTGGTCACTAGATGAAAAATGACTGGAAGAAGCAAGCTGTAACCCTGACTGGTCCTTCCCTCACCATCTCCTGGGGCTCCTTGGGGAAGTCCTTCACCAAGCAGACGGCGAGGACTCCTGCCTGAGTTTGCAGAGAAGAACACCCAGAAGATATCAATAGCCTAGAAAAATGCAGTTCTATCGTCACTTAATATAGAGACAGTGAACTTGAATTGTGCTGCAGACCCTAGAGAGGCCAGATAGGTGAAATACCTTAAATAGTGCAATGCTGGTAAAAGCTTTCCATTTCTCCAAGTGGATTTTCACACCGAGAGCTGAGTTCACACTTTTCCACAGTAAGATGTAAGTGAATTGTACAATTATAGAATATCCGAGTTGTAAGGGACCCAAAAGAATCACTGTGTCCAACACCTGACTCCACACAAGACCACTCAAAAATCAGACCATCTGTTGGAGAGTGTTGTCCAAATGCTTCTTGAACTCCAGCAGGCTTGGTGCCGTGACCAGTGCTCTGGAGAGCATGTCCCTGTGTCTGACCACCTCTGGGTGCAGACCCTTTCCCTAACCCCCAGCCTGACCCTGCCCTGTCCCAGCTCCATGCCGTTCCCTCGGGTCCTGTCGCTGTCCCCAGAGAGCAGAGCTCAGCGCCTGCCCCTCCGCTCCCCTCGTGAGGGAGCTGCAGGCCGCCATGAGGCCTCCCCTCAGCCTGCTCTGCTCTGGGCTGAACAAACCAAGGGACCTCAGCTGCTCCTCATAGATCTTTCCCTCTAGACCCTTCACCATCTTTGTATC